GATGACGTACTCATCGCGTCACGTGACGAACCCGAACACGAGCAACACGTCCGCACAGTGTTGAAGCGGCTTCAAGAGTTCGGAATGTCGATAAACCCCACTAAATGTGTTTTTGCCGTCACCTCGCTAACGTTCCTAGGTCATGTAATTAACAAGGACGGTTGTCAACCCAACCCAGACCGCGTCGACACTATTCACCGATGGCCACTTCCGGCGACCAAAAAAGGCCTACAACGGTTCCTAGGTTCGGTAAATTTTTATCGTAGATTTATCCCGAACGCCGCGGAAATGCAGACCACACTGTACAACTTAGCAGCACAAATTAAAAAAAAAGACGGACCGTTACAGTGGGACGACAGTACCCGCTCCGCATTCGATACCTGCCGCACAGCAATCGCTGCCACAGCAAACCTAGCTCACCCTAAACCAAACGCAGAACTACGCCTCAGCACAGACGCGTCCAGCACATCGATCGGCGCCGTGATCGAGCAAAGAAACGGTAACGACTGGCAACCACTAGGTTTCTTTTCGAGGAAGCTCACCGACGCAGAAACACGATATAGTACGTACGACCGTGAGTTACTCGCGGCATATAGCAGCACCCGCTACTTCATCCACCTCATTGAAGGCCGCCTAACCACTTTATTCACGGACCACAAACCACTCACGTTCATGTTCACCCACAAAAGTGAGAAGTACGTAGACCGACAGGTGCGTCAAATATCATTTCTGTCCCAATACATTCACACCGTCGAACACATTCAAGGCACCGACAACGTCGTACCCGACGCCTTGTCGCGACTCGAAACAGCCGCATTGCAAAGCGGACCGCCCGGTCCGGCTCAATGGTCGAAAGCTCAAACGGACGACCCGGAGCTACAACGAATTCTGGCGAATCCCGACAAATGTGCGTTACGGTTGCAAGCGCGAGACACACCGTATGGACCGATTTATGCCGATTTTTCGACCGGCACTACGCGCACGTACGTACCGGCTGCCTACCGCCGCAGTGTTTTCGACGCGTTACACGGCCTCGCGCATGGTGGTCAAAAAGCAACGTCGCGGCTGATCAACGAACGTTATTGCTGGCCCGACATCAATCGTCAAGTCAGCCGTTGGGTCAAGTGCTGTGTACAATGTCAACGCCTCAAGACGGGCAAACATACGGTATCGCCGATTGTACCGTTTTCGACGGCGGAACGCCGATTCGGTCACATTCATATAGACCTCGTAGGACCACTTCCTTCATCAAACGGGAACAGGTACCTGCTTACATGCATCGACCGGTACACACGTTGGCCGGAAGCTTGGCCGCTGGAAAACATGTCCGCCCACGCCGTCGCTGTCACCTTAGTAAGTCAGTGGTTTTCACGCTTCGGCTTACCTGACGTTGTTACGACAGATCAAGGACGGCAATTTGAGGCCGATCTGTTCCGGGTAATGTCAGAAACGTTCGGGATACAGCACATACGCACCTCCCCGTACCACCCCCAGGCGAATGGCGTGGTCGAGCGACTGCACAGGACGCTCAAGGACGCGCTCACCACACAAGAGTCCACCCACTGGAGCACCAAATTGCCGTTGGTTTTGCTCGCCTTGCGCAGTACGGTCAAGTCGGACGTCGGAGTAGCCCCAGCGGAGATGGTATATGGCACTACCCTACCGTTGCCCGGCGAGCTGTTCAACCCCGCACCACCAACACCGAACCCACCGGAACTAATCGCGACGTTACGTGACGCCATGGCACAATTGCGACCTACGCCCGGTACAAACCACAACACGAGACGGTCAATATTCGTGCCAAAGGACCTATCCAACGTCAGCCATGTATTCCTACGAATAGACGCAGTCAAGCCACCTCTGCAACCACGCTACGAGGGACCACACGCAGTTTTAGAGCGACGCGAAAAGAACTTCAAGCTGCAGTGCAACAATCGCCAGGTTTCCGTCAGCAGGGTTTCCGTCGACAGGCTCAAGCCGGCATTCGTGCTCCGCGAGAACCCGTCACTGACCGATCACTCATACGCCGCCAGCATCATCTCAAAAAAACAAGTCCGTTTTTTACTTCCCGGGGGGAGTAGTGTGGTGACCCACAACAACAGCGTTTTGTAACCGCGGTATCACCGCGCCCCTCTCCTTTTAAGTTTATATTCTGCGGGTAACACTGCCTCCATGACGCGACCGTTGCCGACAAACGCTCTCTCTTTCGGACGTACGTCGTCAAAACGCACCGCGACCGCGCTCTCACGATACGCAACGTTACGCCGGGCTACCAGATTGTAACCTCGTTATTTTAGATTCACCATTCACGTTTGTCAAATTTTACTTTTTGTCTATATTTATTGAATACACGTACATACAATTTTTAACTACCCGTATTTGCAATTATTTTTTATTTTATCAAAATTGGTAACCTTCACCTATTGACAATCCGTCAATACTAGGGATGTGTAGTTCATGAGCTATTCGACTCTGGGAGTCGACTCTTTGAAATGAACTGAACGAGTCGAATCAGTGTTTCAAGATTTGGCGACTCTGTAACTCAGTTTTACCAACCAAAGTTCAACAATTCAAAATCGAGTCGGAGTCGACAATTCGATATGAATTTATTTGTGAACTGTGAATTGTTCCGCGAGTTGAGTTTATAATCACAATTCTGCGAACGATACTACTAATCACGATTTAAGATAGTAAAGATAATTTTATTATATCTATATCTTTGAAGTTTGAATACGTGCTATTACCAGTTACCACCGGTTTAAGATGTATACTAGTGACAGTTTTATTGATGCTACACCAAACTTATTACTTAAAACTACGTGTACCTATTGGATATTATTGTAGGTACTTAGTGAATATAGTGATTTAGTTATATAAAATATAATAATTATTAATAAGATTCAACGTCTTAAGACTTAATTTCTAAACTACTCTCGAGTAGTCTCGAGTCTCGACTAGTCGACTGTTGTGAAATTCAACTATTCAACATTTCAACTCTTAAAATTCTTAATACTAAACTTTCATTTCACACATTACAGTATTACACAAGCAGACACCATACGTCTTCAGAAGTTCAGAATGATATTAAGTATATATACTATATATACTATTGAGTGCAACATTTTAATTCACATACATAATTATGAATCTGAAATAAAAAATTATTAGTAAAACAGAAATATTGAAAACAATTTCATTGGATTTTACTTCACCACAATGTAAGTGTGCACAGTTTTTGTGTTTTGTATATATTGACTTGACTTATGTGATTAAAAAAATGAATTACATTGTAAATTGTAGAATTGGATGTTTGAAAGAAATTGGTACCTAGAAAAAAATAGTATTACTAGCATCAAACTCATTTGTCAAAACTCAGAATTAAGTAGTAGTGGTGTATGAACATGACAAATAATTGTTGAAAATAGTTAACATGAACATGCTAATTGAATGAAGGTGTGTTATGGTTTTATTTATTTTGTAAACAAGAATGTAAATTACAAATGTAAATTTTACAAAATAATTTTAAATTAATAAAATGTATAATAAATTTAAATTCATAGTTTAAAATAATATACTAAATCTTAAATAAAAATATCCTATAGTAAATAATATGTCTGCTTACTTAAAACAAAACAATAAAACCTTTTTATTGTAAATTGTACAAAATAATTTTAAATTAATAATATGTCTGCTTACTTAAAACATAACAATAAAACCTTTTTATTGCAATAAATTACAAAAAATCTTGAATTAATAAAATATTACTTGTACACTGTACTTACATATTATACCTCATGTGACATTAAAATAAAATATTAGTATATATTACATAATATGGTGTACAGTGTTAAAATCTATAAATTAAAATTTAAAAATATCATTTTTTCAAAATTTTTACTATGCAGTCTACTTCTTTTTTCAGTAATTGTCTGACCAGCTTTCGAAAATATTCGCTCACATGGAACAGATGTAGCCAAAATACAAAAACGTTTTTTCATTATTTGAAAGAGCCTTGGATAAACACTTTTATTTTCTTTCCACCAAAGCAAAGGATCAGCTGTTCTTGGAATTAAAGGTTCTAAAAGATATTTATCAATTTCTACAATAAATGCGGATGTTGGATTTCGACTTTGGACTAAACTCTGAACTTCAGTGTCGAAATCGTTCCAGATTGAGTCATTACTTGTTGATGGCATAGTAGCAACACTTGTATGGTTCTCTGATTCCAATTGAATATCCCTAGCTTTATTGACCAATGACTTTTTTCCCTCGATAAATGCGCTGTTATTTAAAAATCCATGATTTTTAAACCTAGGATCCAAAATTACAGCTTCTGCGTAGAGAATATTCCTTTCATGTGGACCAAATCTACTTACCACTTGACTTGTCAATACATCAATAAATTTAGTCGTCAAAGATGAACCGGGATATTTATTTTTCAACTGACCACAATAATTAATTAGAGCTTTACTCAGAACAACAACTTTAGATATTGAAACTGATTTTTCGCTACTAATTTCAATAGTAATTTCCTTAAACCTCTTAAGAATATCACATGTATTTGAAATTATTTGCCAATCGGATGGATTTAAATACACGTCATAGTTAGTCTCGGCTAAAGCAGATAATAAAGGAGTTTTTAAATGCAAAATACGTTCAAACATCTCATAAGTAGAATTCCACCTAGTTACCACATCTTGTATCACACTCAGAGTAGGTGAATATTCCAGTTGTTCTTGCCTGAGTTTTAATTTGGCCGCTGCTTGAGAGCTTCTTTTAAAATGGCCAACAATGCCCTTAACCTTGTCCCTGATCTCTTGCACTTCTTTGAGAACATGTTGGACGGCTAAATTCAAAGAATGTGCAAAACACCCTATGTGTCTCCAATTACATAAAGCAATTGCTCCAGTTATGTTTGCTGCATTATCAGACGTGCAAGCAGCAATTTTGTTTTGTAAGCCCCACTCAGAAACCACCCGTACAAGCTCATTTTTTAAATTTTAACTTGTATGTGACTCAGAATATTTAAAGCATGACAGTAAATATGTCTTAAGGATACAGTCTTTATCAATATAATGTGCAGTTACAGCTGTATAACTTTCGTTTTTAACTGATGTCCAGCTATCAGTTGTCAAACTTACATAGTGAGCATTAGAATTTATATCATTTTTTACTTTTTCATAAACTTCATTATACATTACAGGTAGAAGTGATGTTGTCAATGTTTTCCTAGATGGTAGTGTATAACCTGAGTTTAACATACCTATGAGTTTGATGAACTCTCTATCTTCCACAACACTGAACGGAAAATATTCTTTTACAATCATTCTCAACACTTGTTGATCAATGACTTTTCTGCGGGATGCGCCAACAGGTTTTGGCATGTAACAAGTAATCAAGTTCGATTGAATTGGCCGTGCTACAGCATTTAATCTACAAGACTGTGTCTGAACCAATTGAGATGTATCAGACTGAAAATCATTTCATTATTTTATTTAATATTATAATATTGTATATGACATATTTATTTCTTACATTTTATTACAAATTATTGTAAATATGTATTTATATTTTACACTTTTTTTTTATGTAAGCATATATTTTACATTGAAATAAATTGAGATAACTTACTCGAGAAGAATTTGAAACTCCTTGTTCAGGTATATCAGGATCATCAACTTGCTCTTCTGAAACTTCTACTACATTTTGCCGTCTTCTACTATTCAAATCTACTGTTACATGTTTAAGTCGCATGTGTCTCATCATATTTGATGTAGAAGAACGGTTATGGCTCATGGTCACAGGACACAAACCACACTTAACTCGGCCAGTCTCAGCATTTAATGTAAAAAAGTCCCAAACTACACTAGACTTACTCATTATTTATGAATTTAGAAACCGTGGTGTAGAGCAAATATAAATGAATAACAACTTGTTAAGTGGCAATACATTTTTTAACAAGATGATGCCAGTTTAATAACCAAGAATGGAATAATTGGTAGATATTAATTTGTATATGGGATGGCTAAAATATGGCTATTTTTATATTTACTGTCCATACTCCATATATATATAGGTATATATTACAGAAGTACAGGAGTGGTCAGTGGTGTGTGGGAATTTTTCTACTGATTGTTTTTATTTTGGAAAAATGTGTTTCTATTTTTATCTATAAAATGTATAATTATGCATATTAGTTTTCAATAGCTTGGGCCTGGTGGAAAATAAATATAGCTATAATAAGACACGCCACTATCCTTTATTATTTATTTATAATAATAAGAATTGAATAATGATAATTCATAGATTTTACTAAAATTATATATGGTATAAGTAACTTATATAAGTAAAAACTTAGGGTAACTTGGCTCCCCAAATACTACTAGCCTCCTCAAATTGTTATCGTATAGTATACCATCAGTCTTGTAAAGTATTCGAATACATTATTTAAATACTTTTTGAAGTATTTATATGGTACCTATTCTAAATACATTTTTTTTTTAAGTATTTTAAATACTTTTTAAAAGTATTTTTACCAAAATTTAAATACTTGTATTAAAATACCATAAAGTCTGTTTCATTAATTTTAATTTATTATTTTTCAAAAACAATTGACATCAATATTGGTGGATATAAAGATTTTAATAGACATATTTATTATACACATTTATTCATATTAAAATATAGTATATACATTATACATGTTAGGTACAGTGCTATATTGTACAACAATTTTTTTATTAACAACAAAAGAAAGTCCAATTTTCTCGACGACAATGAAAGTACATTAAGTACCTCATCAGGTGTGACTGTTATATTTCTATACATTATGCACTGATAGCATGCAAAGTCCATTAAGTCGATTCTAAAAACAAAATATGTAGACACATTATAACAAATAGTAAGTGTACAATTTGTTTTAAAATTTACCTGACCCATAGTGTTCCTTAAATATGTTTTTACTCGTTTGAGTGTTGAAAACGTTCTCTCAGGGTTCGCTGTCGAAATGGGTAATGCGTATAAAATGTTTAATAATTTATTAATGTTTGGAAAATGTGTTGAATCACACTGAAAAAATGCTTCAAGACTAGTTTTTGGTTTAAATTGAGCACAAAAGTTAGTAACTGGAATAAGTTTTCTATTCATAAAAAAAAAATTCTAGAAATTTGATTTCCAGCCGGTTAATAAATCATTTGTTATATCTAAATTGTATAACGTATTTACGAAACTTTTGAACATTGTTCTATTTGTGATTGTTACAAAATTTAAAATGAGTACATTTTTATGTACTTCTACCATTTACTTAGGATAGGTTAGGTTATACTGCATATTTATACAATAACATACTAACAAAACAAACCAAATAATTTGTAGATACACCTTAAATTTTAGATTTTTTGAGAAATTATTAATAATATATTTTTTAAAGTTTAAAATAAATAAATAACTAAACCTCTCTTGTTCCATAATATTTCTTAACCAATTTTTAATTTGCTTCATTGGTGAAAAAGCACGTTTACATGTGGCTGAACTTTTGGTATTGTTACAGCCACGGATAGAAATATTAATAATCTAAGCATTATTGAAATTATGTGGGTACAATAATTAAATCCTGATAATTTTTATTTTAAACTAAAATTTGTATAAAAAAACTGGATGAGGTAAGACATCCCCCCCCCCGAACTATTATATATTTGGGACACCAAACCTGCAAAATACATTTTTGGTTACACAATTACCTATCATACGAATAACTTAAAAATTGCATAACACCTCAACTAACATTTAAATAATTAAAAATAAAATGTCTAAGATAAAATAACTATATTATGTTTTTAATTTGTATGTAAGTTATTTATTTGGGCATATTAGGCATATTTTATTATAATAAATATTAATACATTTTACATTTATTATTTAATAGGTATAGGTAAATAGGTAATGTAACTACACTGTGTCACTGTTAGTGTTGTATATTGTATAATGTATACAGCTCAAACAAGTCGAAAACAACAGCTGTCAACTGACAGGATTCAGGTGTCACAACTCACGAGTCACGGGGGATTTTAGTGATTTTACTATTTGACCGTGAGGCGTGAACGGCGTGAACGAATCATCGAATATGTGAGAGTTATCAACTGATAAGAGAGTCGAGTGAGTCGACTCACTGATTCAGTTCATTAGACTGAACTGAGTTGAATGATTTGACTCACTAAAGTGAGTTGTAATTCCCATCCCTAGTCAATACCTACCTACTTTACCAAAATAACATTGATATATTATCACATACTATGTTTTATTTTCATTTCTCGTTCAAGAATTGATATAGGTGATAAAAAATTATCGTGCGTGATATATAAATTGATAATTATCGTATTTGATAAATTATCACTGCGATTCAAGAATTGGGCCCCTGGTGGCTAGGTACTTACTATCGTAGTGCTGACAGTAGATAAGTGGCTACCATGGTGTTATAGTTGCAGGTCGCAGACACTTTTTCTTATGATGTTGTAGTCGTGGATGATAATAATAAAAAGACAGTTGAAGTATGATATAATATTGTGAGATTTTATTAAAACGTTCGATAATTTTCTAAGTCCAAAATAATGTACAAAGTGGCGTGAAGGTGCTTGCACTAATGGGTGGTAGTACACGTCTGAATACAGGCCGATTCGGGCTCCCTTATATATGAGATTCCCCGTACCCCTTGCCTACATATACGATATCTCCGTTCTCACGGATGTCATTCGTATGGTCATCATTCTAACCCACGCATTTACGATTGACTGTATAACTGATTGAATGTATTACTAACTTGTGATTAGTCATTTTACTCTTCAATATTTTAAATTCATCGTATGCGTCCAGTATTCCTGTCAAATATGACAGCCGCCTATTTTGACCCCCTTGTACTTAATACCCGGTTATTCCGATTTATTATATATTATAATGACTTTACACTAGTGATTTATGATTTTGGTATTTGTTTCTGTCAAATGTTACAACGTTTATTTTCGAACCCTTATTTTATTATTACCTGGTTATGCCGGTCCATCGTATATTATAATAATAAGTAATAACTATGTACCTATGAAATTGGTATTTGTCCCGTAGTAACTGGCTTACTACATCTCCCCCTTAAAAAGTTGATTTTTATCGTCTAAAATGAGAAAAATTAACTCAATCATCCCTCCATTAGTTCAAGCACTTCCATGTGGTTACAAGTTACATATATCAATTATTACATGTTTACATAATTTGTTTGTTACAGATATTTAGTTACATTGTTGAATTATATGGTACATTCCACCATATTTTCCTGGTTATATTTATTAAATATTATTGACAATTACAGATTACAATCCACAATATTACAGTATATATTTTGCTTATTATCTAGATTAGTATCTTATGTGAATAACAATATTTTTTCCGTTTTTGTTTTACAACAATAATCTTATCTTAGTGTTAATATAATATAAATTAATCCTTTAATATAATATGAATTCTTAAAGTCTATTACAATATATTTTTTTCCGTGCAATATATATATATGATAAAATAGTGGTGTGTTATATATATTTTTTTTTTTTTTTTTCCATTACAATGTTAATTATATTTTAAATACGTTGGATTAATATATTTCTTTTTCCATCACCATGTTAATTATGTCCAATATATGCTAATATGTTCCTTTATGTATTTGTATATTATTCTATAAAAATTTAATCCTAAATTTTCCTCTCTTTTTTTTCCATTTTTTTTTTCATTTTTTTTTTATTTTTTGTTTTTCTACGTTTACGTTTGTTCCTATATATATATTTTCCATTAATCGTTATATTATTATATTTTATATCTAGTTAATATTACTATTCCTATACTGTGATCCGATTATATCTTTTTACTACAGGTCCAGACCAGCAATTAACTATTGTATTTAAGTTCCATTACATGATCGAGACAAGTACTAAATTGATTTTATTCTATTCTATTTTCGTATGTGTTTTTATCTTGCTAATCGAACCCGTGACGTTAGAGTGTGCTGCAAATCAAAGCATCCTTCCACGACACTGGCTAAATTAACAAGACCTCGTCCTTGTAACTTCTTATTGAGATTTATTGGCCATTCGATCTATTGGTGTTTCCGTTAAAAAATCCGTTATACACACGACTTTCGAACCAACCACCAAACGATCAAACTCCAACATTTTCCTTAAGTTGTCAAACCGTTCGGTATATAATAGTGCAACATTTATCTATCTCCAATAATAATAGATCAAATATGCCCCTATTATCTACCGCTCGATTTCTAATCGTATTTCTTTTCCGTTTCTATTCTGAAATTAATTTATTTTAGATTACTATTTTAATCAATTACTAGTAT